AAGTGTTTAGGGGTAGAAATTTGGACCCTCCCCCCCCCCCCCCCCCCACAGATCGTGACAGACACTCACGTGACCATCACAGACCGTGACAGACAGGCTTTGGACCCATCACAGACCGTGACAGATAGGGTTCTGGATCCATCACAGACAGGGCCCAGGGGTCATTATAGACTGTGATAGAAGACTTCAAGGAAATATCAGAAATGATGCATAACTAACATATAATTGGAGCATATATAGAGTATTATCCTGTTCAAAGTCTATAATGTAAGGTAAACTATTATGAAGGAATGTAACCCAATATGCATAAAACAACAGCTTTTAGAACATCGGCTATAGCAGCTACATCGTGTTTCACATTTTTAATCCCGCAAGGGATTGCGCTAACAGCTTTTTTATTTTACAACAAAATCTTTATATTTTAATGTAAAAAAATGTCTGACTATGAGAGAGAATGTGACATCCATTAACTCTTTTTTGCATTAATACTTCATCTTTTTTTTTTAGCACGTCCATCCAATCCATCTGTTATTCAATATTTTATTGAAATAGCGAATATTTTAGCTGGTAATTCCAATGATGGTGAACAAGAAGATAAAGATGAAATGTTAGAAAAAATCAAATTAGATTTAAATATGACCGAAAATCAACTTATTATGTGTCATGGACGTAATTCTACAAAAACAGTGAGAAAACTCATGAAGTTTATTTTTCCCAATCCGACAGAAAATGAAACAATTAAAAGTATTGAGAATAATATTATTGAATCAATCATTAGTATGTATACAAATACATATTTTCTTTTACAAATATTTTAATTTTTATAGAATACACACGAATAGCAAATCCGACTGATCGAACAGAAGATACAGCATTAAGACATGCAATTAGTAATTATCTTTCAGTTCAAAAGTTCAAAAACAAAACGAATCAACTTCATTGAATCATTTTGCTGACAAATTAAATCAAAACAATTGTCTTTACAAAGGAAGAAGAACATTTATTTTATTAAAAAAATGAACATCATTACGAAGGATTTTCTCTTGTTTATTTAATTATATTCCTTCTTCCTTCTTTTTTTGTATAATAATATGTATATTTTATATTGTTACTACTGTATTGAGATTCATTGGTGAAATGCTTTATTCAAGAAGTTTTGTTTGTCTAGTTTCATTGATATTCTTTTTCTTTTATGTTGTATAATTTCTTATTCAAGCATTGAGACATGTTTGTTTATCCTTTTCGATTTTATGTAAACTGTACTTCTTGATATTAATACGTTTTATTCCTTTTGTGATATTCATTTTGCTATTCGAAGTTTTTTTATTGATATGTAAACCTTCTACATGACTTGTATTTTATTGATCAACTATAGATAATACCGATATTTTCGATTGGATTTTCTTTTTGTTCATAACGGATACTAATGTCTAGCAGAAGGTCAATATTCAGACATAAAAAAAATCAACAACGAAATTTCGATTTAGGTGAGATCTTTTCTTCATACTTGGAAAGTCTTAACTTATAAATATCAGTCTATGCTCTAGCACATTATACTAATACTTCTTCTCACATTGAAGAAAACGAAGCATTCGCTGATGAAATTCAAATGATAGAAACACATGATGTTGAAATGACGAATGCGGAAGAAATAACGAACAATGATAATGTTGATGTGCAAAGAGAATCATCAACTGATGATGAAAATGAATTAGATGCAGAAGATTTTATGGTTGTCGATGAAATGAACACAGATGAAAGCATGTATGCAATGTTAATGAATAAAAATAGGTAGATTTTCTAATTTTCACTGCTTTTGATTTACCTCTTACGTAGTATTATATATTGAAGAAAGTAGAAAATAATTACCTTCATGAAACTTTTTCGTGTGTAATTCATACTAAAAATGAGACAACCGTATTAAAGTCGAATTACAAAAGAAAGAAACTGAAAAAAAATTAATTAAGAAAATATTCTTTTTTGATATCATTTGGATTAGCTTTACATCTTAATTAATTATTGCCGTGTGATATTCTACTAAAGTTAACCTTTTTTCAAATATTTTAAATCATGAGCTATACCTATAGGGTTTCAACGTATTTTAATATATTGTTCATTCAGCATTTCTAAATTTAGTGCAAATCGTTTGAGTAGTTTTCAACTGTAAGAAAATTTTCAAATGTTCAAGTTTATCTTTGCTTTTTGTTGAATATTTCAGCTCTACAGATGATGCAGTTGGAAATAAAAAACCAGTTACTATGAAAGATATTGCTTGTTTATTAATTCTTTTCAAATATCGCCATCGACTTTCCATCCAATGTATCTCAGATTTACTCAAGTTATTATTATTATTTGGAGTCGATCAAGCACCTCATTCTTGGTATCAACTAAAAAGTTTGCTAATGATAAATGATCTAACCCTCTCGTATATTTTTCCTTGCTCACAATGTTCTGGTATATCTACAGATTCCAAAAAATGTTCATGCTGTGGTCATCAATTCTCTTCAACCAGTTGTCATGATAGCTTCGTCATTTCGCCAATAAAGGATCAGTTGGACATTATACTCAGAAACAATGCCGATATTGACTTCTTTTCGCCATCCACAAACAATACACTTCGTGATATAAAAGATGGCGACGTTTATCAACAGATAAAAACAGTTTGTACAGATCCATTTCTAACATTAACAATGAATGTCGATGGAGTGGAAGTACGAAAAGGTTTAAAAAGATCAATCTGGCCAATCCTTTTTGTTGTGAACGAACTTCCATTAAAACAACGTTATGCTCTTGAAAATGTCATTATTGCTGGTATTTGGTCAGGATTGAAAAAACCTTCTCGTCTTCAAATGAAATCTATCATTACGCCAATTGTAGAAGAATTATCACTTTTGGAGCAAGGATATGCTTTTACGGATCATACAAAAGAATCATTAAATCAGGAAAATGTTATAAAAGTATTTCTTACCAGTGCCTGTTGCGATAAGCCTGCACAGGCACTGGTACAGAACTTACCAGAGCCGACAGGGGCATTTGGCTGTGGGCGGTGCGAACTTGAGGGTGAGATTTTAAAATTATATCATCTACTTGACAATTTCCTATACAAAAAATATCCGTATATGACAGCTTATAAAGTAGTTCTAGTGGAATTATTTTAATCGATCGAGAGAGACAGAAATCAAAATTGTGTTATCGTTTAATCCTAAACAATCTGATTGAAGTCAGACTATAATAATGCCAATATTATTATTGGATGTTCTGATTTGTATGGATCAAATATAATTATTTAGATTGATTATCATAATATCGATCAGTTTAATTCGTACTTGAATTCATTTTCAGGCACAATGGTGGAGAGTGAATGTGGTCACGTGCGATCGTTTTCAATGTCCAAAGACGAATTAGAGAACGTCGTACTACGATCCAATGAACGTTATGACTTGCTATTGAAGTTGAAACATCAGCATGAGCAAGGAATAAAGAATATGACGAATTGGTCAAAGAAGAAAAAAAAAAAGGTGAAAGAAAAACAGAAAAAAGATGAAAAAGGAATTTTGGGCACTTGTATTCTTCGATCTCTATCTAATTTTGATGTGGGTCGAGCATTTATGGCAGACAGCCTCCACAATGTTTATAGTGGTGCCTTCGTAAGTGAAAAATTATCAAAGAAAAGACTATTTTTGATTTTACTTTTAGAAGCGCATGTTGAAGCTCTGGTTTGATGAAAAGTATGCATCGCAAGCTTGGAGTCTTGTCAGACATATAAATAATCTATCATCTTTATTTCTACAAATACGATTTCCTTCTACCACAACTCGTTTACCTCGAAGTCTTCTCCAGTACAAAAAATTCAAAGCTAATGAACTTCGAATATTACTACTTTTTGGATACATAATTTTTTCTGGAACGTTAGGTCACGTATATTATTCTCATTTATTACAACTAGTGGTGCTGATGCATATGGCAGAATCAAGAGAAATACCACCAAACCAATTGTTTCTTATGCAGCACCTATCAAATTCTTTTGTTCTCGATTTTTCTAAACTATATACTTCTAGACATTGTGTGCCAGTGGTACACTCTATTATTCATATTCCACCGACCATTAGAGATTTTGGACCACTTACCAATTTCACAACTTTCAACTTCGAGGATGTCTTAGGTAAGCTAAGTAATACACAATTGTCCAGCAGAAGCATTCTAAAAATCATCTATATAATATTAAGTTTATAATATGCCATGACCCATCAAGAAATAGATTAAAAATTGTTTAATGAAAACCTATAGTTTGCAGAGTAACTGTAAATTATTGATTAGCTATTCTGTGTTTGGATTATTATTAATAGGATTCTAAACTGTAATCGTTCTATTTTTATAATTTTGCTCAGTGATTCATACTTCATCCTATTTCACCATTCTTTGTATATGTTAGACACTTTAAACTTATATCATTGGAACTATTACTTCTAGGTAACCTGCGCAAACTGACACCTTTTTTTAATCTATAACAACTTAGTGTAAGCTTTTTATGAAAATTTTATTTGTCTACGTATTTATTTATATATATATATCTTTTTAATAAATACAGGGTGGCCCAAAAGTCACGTTACCGACAAAAAAAATTGAGTATCTCTATTACGGCTCGAGCAAACGAGCTGATTTTTTTGCCAACGATAGAGACATGTTGACACTCCAAATCCATACAGACAAGATTAGTGAGAACCTTTGTTAAGTATATTATTTTCTTTTCCTATCTGTGCGAAAGTAAAATTTTCTTGTTGACGTCAATAGTGATACTTGACAAAGGTTCTCACTGACCTTGTCCATATGGATTTGGAGTGTGAACATGTCTCTATCCTTGGTAAAAAAATGAGCCCGTTTGGTCGAGCCGTAATGGAGATACTCAATTTTTTTTTGTCGGTAACGTGACTTTTGGGCCACCCTGTATTAATATTTCTGCTTAGGTCAAATGACTCGTACAACAAAGAGTACACGTCGTCATGCAGAAGAGATTATGCATAGCCTTAAATTATTTCAATCTTCGATTGTTCATTTAAATACCTTATCATTTAATCACAATTTATCAGAGTTTTTGTCATCACGTCTTGATTATTCAAATGGTAACATATCATCAAGGTTTATGAAACTTTTACACAGAACAAATACAAATCATCCATTACCATCAATTTTCTTTCCTCAATCTGATATTAAGTGTTTCGATGTGCTGTATGTTGGGCAAACAAGAATTACAACCACTGAATACTCCAAAGGAAAAAAAGCTGATGATAGCAACATAATCTTCTGCCGTAATAACAACAATTTTTTTGGACGTGTATGCTCAATTTTTTCGGTCAACGACAAACAACCATTGCTATTAGTTGATTATCTCGAACAAACCAATCCATTAATATACACCAACAGCTTCAGTTCTGACGAGTTAAGTTACGAACACATTAGATATGGCGATGATACAACAAAAAATGCTTGCTTAATCTCCATCGATGATTTCGTGGAAAAAAATGTCTACTTTCGATGTTCAAAAAACATTAATCATTATTTCCGTTTCCCCTCACTTTTTCATTCATCTTGAATAAATCTAGCTTTTCTATAAATATTCTATATTTGAGGAAATTTATAAGCGTTGAAATACATTAAAGGAGCTGTAGTTATTCTTCGAGATTACATCTTACTCAGCTATAAGTATATCAAAAAGCGTCAAGTAACTGAGAACCTACATCTTTTTATTAGAACAAACTCTTATTCAACAAAATGTACATCAATAAGTACCATCACAACCGATACTAATTCATCAAATATCAAGTGAATAAATCAATACTTTTCCATTTATTTTAAATTAACTATTTGGGTTGCTTAGAGAAAAATCGATTTTAATAGATTAAATAATAAATTCATTAAGATCGATTAAGATTTCATATGATTATCTGAATTATTTTGAAGTAAATCGATTTTAATAGATTAAAAGACAAATTGATTAAAATCGATTAAGATTTCATATGATTATCTGAATTATTTTGAAGTAAATCGATTTTAATAGATTAAAGGACAAATTGATTAAAATCGATTAAAATTTCGTATGATTATCTGAATTATTTTGAAGTAAATCGATTTTAATAGATTAAAGGACAAATTGATTAAAATCGATTAAAATTTCGCATGATTATCTGAATTATTTTGAGAAAAAGCGATTTTAATAGATTAAAAGACAAATTGATTAAAATTGATTAAGATTTCATATGATTATCTGAACTATTTTGAGGAAAATCGATTTTAATAGATTAAAGGACAAATTGATTAAAATCGATTAAGATTTCATATGATTATCTGAATTATTTTGAAGTAAATCGATTTTAATAGATTAAAGGACAAATTGATTAAAATTGATTAAGATTTCATATGATTATCTGAATTATTTTGAAGTAAATCGATTTTAATAGATTAAAAGACAAATTGATTAAAATCGATTAAGATTTCATATGATTATCTGAATTATTTTGAAGTAAATCGATTTTAATAGATTAAAAGACAAATTGATTAAAATTGATTAAGATTTCATATGATTATCTGAACTATTTTGAGGAAAATCGATTTTAATAGATTAAATAATAAATTCATTAAGATCGATTAAGATTTCATATGATTATCTGAATTATTTTGACGTAAATCGATTTTAATGGATTAAATGATAAATTGATTAAAATCGATTAAGATTTCATATGATTATCTGAATTATTTCGAGAAAAATCGATTTTAATAGATGAATATTCAAATAATCAA